ACAGTCCTCAATGAATATTTTGTGTCAGTCTTCACAATGGAAAAGGATGATGCAAGTGTCAGGGTGAAGGACATTGGAATATTATAAGAAATGAATAGAGGGGCAGAAAGAAGAGGTATTAACAGGTTTAGCAGTCTTAAAAGTGGATGCATTTGCAGGCCTGCATGAGATATATCCCAGGGTTTTGATGGAAACAAGGGAGGAGATATCAGGGGTCCTGTCAGTAATTTCAAATCCTCTCTGGCCAGAGATGAGATGCCAGAGGACTGGTGGACAAAGGGATACCAAAAAAGGGAGAAAGGGATAGTCCAGGAAATTTCAGGCCAGTCAGTCTGACCTTGGTGGTATTAAAGATATTATAAAGAATTTAGAGGGACAGAATGTATCTATACTTGTAGAAACACTGATTAACCTGCATAGATTTGTTCAAGGAAAGTCGTGCTTGACAAATGTGATTGAATTGCTTGAGGTGGTTACCAGGAGCATTGATGAGGGTAATGTATTTGATGGGGTCTACATAATTCAAGGTTTTGTTAAAGTCCTTCCGGGCAGATTGGACAAAAAAGTAATAGCCCACTGGATCCAAGGCAAGGTGGCATGTTGGTTCAAATTGGCTGAGAGGCAGGAAGCAGAGGGTGATTTTTTTTCCCTTTATTCATTCATAGGATGAGGGCATCACTGACCAGGCAGCACATATTGCTCAGAGTCAACCACATTGCTGTGGGCCTGGAGTCACATGTAGGCCAGACCAGGTAAGGACAACAGTTTCCTTCCCTAAAGGACATTAGTGAACCAGATGGGCTTTTCCCCAACATTTGACAATGGATTTCATGGTCATCGTTAGATTCTTAATTCCAGATATTTTACTGAATTCAAATTCCACGTTCAAATTCGAACCTGGGTCCACAGGACATTATCTGGGTCTCTGGATTAACGGTCCACTGATAATACCACTAGGCCGTTGCCTCCCCTGATTGTTGATGGATGTTTCTGTGACCCTAGAGGAATTCCTTAGGGCTTGGTCCTGGGGTTGTTGCTGTTTGTGGTGTACATCAATAATTCGGAAATAAGGTAGGAGAATGATCAAGAAGTTTGTGGCTGACACAAAAATTACTAGGGTGGTAAATAGTGAGATGGTAGCTATAAACTGAAGGAGGAGATCAATAAACAAAAACAGAAGTTGCTGCAAAAGCTCAGCAGTTCTGAAAGCATCTGTGAAGACAAAATCAGATTTAATATCCTTCCTTGCCAGACCTGCTGAGCTTTTCCAGCAACTTCTGTTTTTGTTCCTGCTTTATAGCATCCACAGTTCTTTTGGTTTTTGTGGAAGAGATCAATGGTCTTGTCAGATAGGCAGAGAGGTGGAAAATGGAATTCAACCTGGAAACATGTGAGGTGATGCACCTTGATTAGGTTAACAAGGCAAGGGATCATACTAAGAATAGTGAACCCTGGAAAGTACTGACAATCAGAGGGACCTTGATGTATATATCCATAGATCCCTGAAGGTAGCAAGGAAGATAGATAAGGTGGTTAAGAAGGCATATGAGACATGTACCTTTTTAAAAATTTTCTTTTTCCTTTATAAACTGAGGCATAGAATACAGGGAAAGCGAGGTCATGTTGGAACTGCCTAAAGTGCTGGTTAGGCCACAAATGGTACGCTGTTTGCAGTCCTGGTCACTGCATTATAGGAAGGATGTGGCTGCAGTAGACAGGGTACAAAGGGGATTTATCAGGATCCTGCCTAGACTGGACAGTGTTGGTAATGAGAAAAATTAGATAGGCTGGGATTGTTCTCCATCGAGTAGTGAAGGTTGAGAAGGCATCTGATAGAGGTGTATGAAATATAATGTGCATAGAGTGGATAAGAATGCAATTTTTTGATAGTACAGGGATCAATAACCAGGGACATAGATTTAAGGTAAGAGGTAGAAGGTTAAAGGAGAGTTTTTCTCATCCAAGTTGGAGCCTGGAACTTTAACCTGAAAAAGTGGCTGAATCAGAAACTATCATAACATTTAAACAGTACTTAGATATTTACTTACATTGTTATCGCTTCCAGGACTGAAGCTGGAAAAGAGGATTAGTATGGTCAGATCTTTATTGCCCAGCATAGACACAGTGGGCAAAATGTCTTCCTTGTGCTGTAAATGTCTACAAGTGAAAGTGAATAAAGTGATGCAGGCTTCAACAAGATCTCAGACACTAATTTACTTTACTTAAAAGCATCTCATTTTCCAGCCATATAGAGGTGCATCTGTGAAACTATCCAATGGAAAAGAACTCTCCTCCCTCCCTGAGACTTTCCTTTCCGCTCTACCAACAAGCTATCTGTGGAAATCACCTCGGTATTCAACAACTGATGGCAAACCATTCAAAGGTAATTGTTTGGATAAGAAGAATTTCATTATCTGCGTGTGCTAATGAAGTTCTAATTGGAAATGACACTCATGTTTGAATTACTGGAAGTTGGAGAGAGAGAGTGAGACTTGAAGTCATAACCTGGACGTGGGAAGGTTCTGACAGTGACTAGCTCTCCCACCTTAGACCACTCATACCAAGCTGCTTGCCTTGACCAGTTCCTGCCACCTGGTGGATAGCTGTATCTCCGCTTGCTGTCTTTCTCCATCAATTTCAACACAGATAATTGGGAGGTTGTACGTTTCAGTAGGAAGAATAGGGAGGTCACTTCATGCTCAGGGAGGTGGAGTAGAGGAATTAAAGATCTCCAAGTACAAATATACCAAACTAAAATCGGTGCTATTGATTAGCAAGGCCATTTAAAAAATACACCAAGCTCTTTATTTTCAGGGAGATAGAATTGTAAAGCACGAATGTTGCACTAGACCTGTTTTGATGCTTGTTTAAACCATACTTGACAGTACCATGTGCAGTTTGGTTAGCCATATTATATAAAAAAGGAGGCAGTATAGAGCAGATTCACAAGGATTATACCAGAACGTATAGTGTGAGGAAGGGTCACCGGACCCGAAACATTAACTCTGATTTTTTTCTTCACAGATGTTGCCAGACCTGCTGAGCTTTTCCATCAACTTCTGTTTTTGTACCAGGTTTACATATCAGGATACAATTGCCTTTTCTCTCCAGAAGCATGAAGTTTGAGGGGTCCAACTAAATAGATACCTCTAAAACTATGAAAAGTTTTAAAAGAGACAGGCTGTTTCCTTTAATGGAGAACAGCATAACTGGAAGTAATCAATATAACCTAGTCACCAACAAATCCTGTAGGGAATTCAGATTATGAATGTGGTAGTTGCTGGCACAAGGAGTGGTTAAAGCAAATGGCAATGATGCATTTAAGGGGCAAATGGCATGTATTTGAGTGTGATGTATTTGATACCAACATTGGTAAACTTAGAAAGGAGGAGGAAAAGATAGGAGGAGGCTTAAGTGAAGCATAAACAGCAGGATGGATTGGTTGATGTGAGTGGCCTGCTTCTGTGTTATATATTCTATTTAATTCTATTTAATATCTCAGAAATTGGAGGTTTCTACAGTGTCTGCTATTGTTTCCAATCATCAAGTATAGTTTTATTCAGCTAAAATGCACTACCCCTTTAAGAATTGCAGGCTGCCTTTAAATGTCTAAACCAACATTGATTTAGTCCCTCTCCACTGGGGAAGAAGCTGATTAACAACATAGCACCTATTTCATTTTTAATTCACCACATGGGCCAATTTGAGGGCCATCATTGTGTTCTTGTGATCAAGCAAGTATTTTAGAGGAGTGCGTGCTCTGTGACAATTTCAATTTTGTAATGTTCGATTACACACAATACAGCTCCATATAGTAATGACAAGGTCAATATTTTACCCTGTAATCCCAATAATTTGGTTATAAAACCCAGTAATTGATATGATATGAAATAATTTTTAATAAGATACAGGAGATACAGTCATAGAGCCATTTGGCACGGAACCAGACCTTTTGGTCCAACTTGTCTATGTAGACCAAGTTTCCTAAACAGAACTAGTCCCATTTGGCCCATATCCCTCTACTCCTTTCCTATCCATGTATCTGTCCAAATGTCTTTTAAATGTTGAAATTGACCTGCCTCCACTACTTCCTCTGGCAGTTCATTCCATATATGCACCACTCTCTGTATGGAAAAGTTGCCTCTCTGGTCCCTTTTAAATCTTTCCCCTTTCACCTTAAACATATGCCCTCTAGTTTTGGACTCCCTTACCCTCTGGATAAAACCTTGACAATATCAATGCCCCTCATGATTTTATAAACCTCTATAAGGTCACCTCTTAGTCTCTGACAGTCCAGGGAAAATAGTCCCAGTCTATTCAGTCTCTCCTTATAACTCAAACCTTTTAGTCACAACAATATCCTTATTTGCACTCTTCCCAGTTTAATAACATCCTTCCTGTAGTAGGGAGACCAGAATTGTAGGCAGTACTTCAAATGTTGCTTCTTTTTAATTATTGCAATTTTAAAACACAGAATTACTGTTTATTGCAAAAGTAAATATTTTACACTTTCTGTATGACATAAACAGCAAATGGAATAAGCAAAGCGAATATTATTAAACAGTAAACACAGGGGGAACACATCAAGGAGATAATATTTTACACCCATCGTTGTAACATTAATCTGAAGAGAGGTTTGATAATATCACAGGCAGGAAAAGTCCAGCTGGCCCACACACCACTATTATGGCTAGCTAAAAATTTCTTTGTACCCCACTCCCAAGGCCATGAAATCTCTGAGGAGACAATGGCTCATGAATCATCATCATAGAATCCCTACAGTTTGGAAACAGGCCCTTTGGCCCAACAAGTCCACACCGAACCTCAGAGAATCCCACCCAGACCCATCCCCCTATAACCCACCTAATCTACACCTCCCTGAACACTACGGGCAATTTAGCATGGCCAATCCACCTAACCTACACATCTTTGGACTGTGGGAGGAAACCAGAGCACCTGGAGGAAACCCACACAGACACGGGGAGAATGTGCAAACTACACACAGACAGTCACCCAAGGCTGGAATCAAACCTGGGTCCCTGGTGCTGTGAGGCAGCAGTGCTAACCACTGTGCCACCATGCCACCCTGTGTATGTGTATGCACAGAGATGTGCAGAGATGTGCCTCAGAGATTACATGGCCATGGAAGTGAGTGGGAGGTTGGGAGTGGGGTTCACAGAATGTGCATGCTCTGAGTGCAAGTTTCATCCCAGTTTTCATAACCAAAAGAGATTTTACAGCAATGATACAGAAGGGTGAAATGTAGACAAGACTGTGTTCATCAATATAAAGTTGTGTCTATGACTTTCAAAAGTTCACAATTTGTTGAAATAACATTCCAATCTTTCCTCCACTCGTTAGTCCTGATTTGATGTGTTAATTACCTAGAATAAATGTAAAACAAAATATGGTAAAACATGGTAACATAGTAAAACCATATTTCAATGCCAACAAGCAAGTATAATAAGTAACACTTTTAATATACAAAAATTTCTTAACGTGCTTCTTGAAGCGTTTTAAAATAAAGTACTGCAAAATGCAAGAGGTCTGATGGGTAAGGCCGATGAACTCAGGGCATGGATAGGTACGTGAGGCTGGGATATTATAGCCATTACAGAAACATGGCTAAGGGAGAGGCAGGACTGGCAAGTTAATGTGCCAAGGTACAGGTGCTTTAGGAGGGATAGAGGTGGAGGAAAGGTAGGGGTGAGGTACATTTTCAATTAAGGGGAATATCACAGCGGTAGTCAGAAATGAAATAACTGAGCAATCATCCAGTGAGGCTTTGAGGGTGGAGCTAAGAAATAAGAAGGGGATGGTGACATTATTGGGATTGTACTATAGGCCCCCAAATAGTCAAGGGGAATTAGTAGAAAAAAAATGTAGGGAGATTACGGACACTTATAGGAGAAATAGGGTTGTCATAGCGGGGGATTTTAACTTCTCTAACATTGACTGGGACTGCCATAGTGTTAAGGGCTTAGATGGGGTGGAATTTGTTAAATGTGATCAAGAAAGTTTCCTCAAGCAGTATATAGAGGGTCCTACTTGGGAAGGGGCAAAACTCAACCAACTCTTGGGAAATAGGGCAGCTCAGGTGACTGAGGTGACATTGGGGAGTACTTTGGGACCAGTGACCATAGTTCTATGAATTTTAAAACAGTTGTGGAGAAGGACAAAACTGGTCCACAGGTTCAAGTTCTAAATTGGAGCAAAGCGAATTTTAATGGAATTAGACAGGAGCTTGCACGAGTTGATTGGAATGGTTTGTTTACAGGCAAAGGAACCTCTGGCAAATGGGAGGCCTTTAAAAGTGTGACAGCTAGAGTTCAAGGTCCGTATGTTCCTGAGGGGGTGAAAGACAAGGAAGGCAAGTGTAAGTAACCCTGGATGACAAGAGATATTGAGGCTTTGACCAGAAAAAAAGGAGGTATGGCTCAGGTACAGGCAGCTGGGTTCAAGAGAATCTCTGGAGGTATGTAGTGGGTACAGGAGTTTACCAAAGAAGCAAATCAGGTGGGTGAAAAGGGGGCATGAGGTAGCTTTGGCTGAGAAGATTAGGGTGAATCAAAGAGATTATTTAAGTATATTAAAGGAAAAAGAATAACTAGAGAGGGAATAGGACCTCTTAAGGACCAAAGTGGACATGTGGAACCGCAGGAGATGGGCAAGGTCCTCAATGAATATTTTTCCTCTGTGTTTAGCATGGAGAAAGACATGAAGACTTGGGAAGTTAGTGGTAATATCTTGGGGACAGTCCATATCACAGTAGAGGAGGTGTTGGAAGTATTAGAATGTATGAAGATGGATGACCAGATATATCCAAGAACCCTGAAAGAGGCTAGAGAAGAAATTGTGAGGGCCCTGGTTGATATATTTGCATCATCGTTAGCCAAGGGTGAGGTCTGGATGACTGGAGGGTAGCAAATGTTGTGCCCTTATTCAAGAAAGTCTGCAAAGAAAACCCTGGGAATTATAGACCAGTAAGCTTAACATCTGTGGTAGGTAAGTTACTTGAGAAGATTCTGAGGGATAAGATATACATGCATTTGGAAAGACAGGGTTTGATTGGGAGCAGTCAGCATTGCTTTGTGCGTGGGAGATCATGCCTCACAAATTTGTGGGATTCTTTGATGATGTAACCAGGAAGGTTGATGAGGGCAGGGCGGTAGACATGGTCTATATAGATTTCAGTAAGGCCTTTGATAAGGTTCCACACGGTAAGCTGCTCTCGAAGGTTAGATTGCATGGAATCCAGGGAGAGCTGGCAAATTGGATACACAGTTGGCTTGATGGTCGGAAGCAGAGAGTAATAGTAGAAGGATGCTTATCTGACTGGAGGCCTGTGACTAATGGTGTGCCTCAGGGGTCGGTGCTGGGCCCATTGCTGTTTGTTATCTATATCAATGATTTGGATGAGAATGTACGAAGCGTGATTATTAAGTTTGCCGATGACACTAAAATAGGCGCTATCATGGACAGTGAGGAAGGTTATCAGAAACTGCAGCAGGATCTTGATCAGCTGGGGAGAAGTGGGCCGAGAAATGGTAAATGGAGTTTAATATAGATAAGCGTGCGGTGTTGCATTTTGGAAAGTCAAATCAAGATAGTAGTTTCATGGTGAATGCTAGGGCCTTAAGGAGTGTAGTGGAATAGAGGGATCCTCGAGTTCAGGTGCATGGTTCTCTGAAAGTGGAGTCACAGGTAGACAGGGCAGTGAAGAAGGCTTTTGGCACACTGGCCTTCATCAGTCAGGGCATCGAGTACAGAAGGTGGGAAGTTATGATGCAGTTGTACAGGACCTTGATGAGGTCTAACTTGGAGTATTGTGTTCAGTTTTGATCACCTTGCTATAGGAATGATGTTGTTAAACTGGAAAGCGTGCAGAAGAAATTTACAAGCATGTTGCCGGGACTCAGGGTGACTAAGTTATAGGGAGAGGTTGGACAAGATGGGACTTTTTTCTTTAGAGTGTAGGAGACTGAATGTGTATCTTATAGAAGTATAAGATCATGAGAGGCATGGATAGGGTGAATGCACTCAGTCTTTTTCCCAGGGTTGGGCAATCGAAGACTAGCTAGCATCAGCTTAAGGTAAGAGGGGAAAGATTACATGGGAACCTGAGGGGCAACTTTCTTACACAAATGGTGGTACGCATATGGAATGAGCTGCCAGCAGAAGCGGTTGAGGTCGGTACATTAACAACATTAAAAGGGAATTTGGATGAATACATGAATAGGAAATGTTTAGAAGGATATGGGCCAAGTGCAAAGAAATGGGGTTAGCGTGGATGGACATTTTGGTCGATGTGGACCAGTTTGGGCCAAAGGGCCTGTCTCCGTGTGATTTTAGGTTTGATTACCTAAACCTTGGTCAGAGGGGCAGGTTGCTAGGTGTATCTTAAAAGAGGAAAGCAAGGGTTTAGTCTGGGACCTTGTCAATTGAAATAGAGTACAATGTGGGAAAGAGTGAAATTGTCAATTGTGAATTAAAAAAAAGCATATTATCTAAACAGTGAGAAGTCATAGAGCTCTGAGATGCAGAGAGGTCTGGGTGCCCTCCCGCATGAATTGCAGAAGGTAATGTTGCAGGTACAGCAAGTAATTGTGAAAGCTGATTGAATGCTATGTTTTATTATGAGCGGAATTAGATGAAAGAGTGGAGAGATTATGCTTAGGTTATACAGGGCATTGGTGAGACTACATACTGTATTGTATACAGTACTAGTCATCAATCATATGGAAGAATGTTAATGCATTGGCAGCAGTTCAGAAAAGGTTTACTGGACTAATACCTGGAATGAGTGCATTTCCTTATGAAGAAAGGCTAGATGGGCTAGATCTCTATTCTCTAGAGTTTAAATGAATCAGAGGTGACATAATTTGAAACATATAAGATCCTGAGGTGACTTAACTGGCTGGATGTTGAAAGGAAACTTGTGGGAGAATCCAGAACTCACGGTCAAACTAGTTTAGAAATAAGGAATTTCCCACTGAAAACGAAGATGAGGTTTCTTTCTCCCTCTCTCATAAAGTTGTGAGTCTTTGGAATCCTTTTCTTCAAAAGGCAGTGTTTTAGAATATTTAAACATTTTTAAGGTAGCGGTAGATAGATTCTTGATTACCAAGGGAATGAAAATTATCAGAGATATTCAGGAATGTAGAGTTAAGGATAAAGTCAAATCAACCATCACCTTATCGAATGGTAGGCTTGAAGGGCTGACTGGCCCACTCTTACCCCTCGTTCCTATGTTTGTATTGAAGGCCTGGCTATCAATGCCACAGCAATAAAAATTGGGGTGTATAAGAGCCTGGAACTAGAGCAGGACAGATATCTTGGAGCCTGTGGAGCAAATGAAGTGTGGTGGGGTCGAATAAAGTGATGACACAGATGTGTAAACAGACTATAATAGCAACAGCGCATATATTTGAAAGATCAGGCAAGATAATTAAACGATGAGGAAATGTCAGTGTGACTTCTGAACAACCTGCCTCTGCAATTTGCTTAAAGAAGTTTGACAACTTGTTTAATTTTAGGCAATGTATAATTAGTTTTACTCTTTCATGGGATTGGGTATTTGTTATCCTAACTGTCCTTGAACTGAGAACTTTGCTAGGACATTGCAGAGGGCAGTTAGGAGTTTACAACTGGTTGACACATCTGGGGGTCTGTTGATATATATAAGAACGACAGATTTCCTTCCGTAAAGGATGGTAGTGGAGCAGATTTTTTCATACAGCTGTCATGCTCACCATTACTCAGACCATATTCCAGACTAATTACTCAAATTAATTAGTTAATTGAATTTAAATTCAAGCAGCTGTAATTCCAGCACTATATATCACCTTCTTTGGTAAGCTTTAACAGAAGTAATGTCACGGAATGTTTCAACATAAAATCACAGCATTCATGTGGTGAGGTGATGGTGGTATCACTGGATGAGCAACTCAGTAAACTATGGCCGATGGTCTGAAGACATGGTGTTAACAGAGTTGATGTAATGATGACTATGTAACCACTGTCAATTGTCATTATATGTTAAAAAAAAACAAATCTGGTTCACTAAAACTCTTTAGGGATCACCCTCACCTGGTCTGGCCTATATGTGATGCCAGATGCACGGCAATGTGGTTGACCCTTAACTGCCCTCTGGGTAATTAGGGATGGGCAATAAATACTGGCCTAGCCAGCGACGCTCTCATCCAGTGAATGAATTTTATTAAAAAATTGCAATAGTATAGGAATTGTAGCAGGCATTTAGCCATCATGTCTGCACCTGCTTTCTGAGCATTTTAACTTCATGCTAATCTCTTGTCTTCTGATAATAAAATTTTACAGGCCCATTGTGTCTCTACTGGTTCCCAAAAGAGTTACTCAGCTACCA